ACAGAGCAATTACATCGCATACTCAAGGTATAATGTCAATGAAGCCGAACTACCAGAAATATAACCAGAAAGTAAATTAGATTTAAAGTTATTATTTGGAAAACATATTCGATATTTGACAAAAATCTATACAGAAATAAAGAAATTTGTCGTCGCTGCTACGCAAAATTCGGATATAATTTTTAAGTAGCAGTAGATTTCCTTGTGAAGTGTTTCCAGGAAACTGCCACCTTTCCTCTTTCTGCTGCCTTCCCTATTTTTACCGCATTACCTATTTCTGCCGGCAAGCAGTGATCTGAGCATTACTGCGTTCCTCAATTATCTATCTTCCTAAAATCGAGAAATATGACTGACGGAAAATTATGACAAATGAAGCCGTTAATAATATACTCGTTTTTACTAGTACCAGTTTTAGCAATAGTTTAGTAGCAGTAGAGCTCCTTGTGAAAGAGTTCGTCCAGGGAAGTACTGCCACCTTAACCATTTCTGACGCCAAGCAGTGATGTGTGTATTAATGCGTTTCGGTTTTGAAGGGTAAGTGTGCCGGTGAAATTAGAGGTACGTGGGACTTGTCTCTTAGAGTGACGGGTGCAATGTTGGTGCTCTTTAGATCTTTGCAGTTTAAAGCCCTGAGTGGCACTGTAACTATTATGAGTAGGCGTGTCGTTTACCACCAAGCGCACGACTTGTTCGTCCCGTCCCTTGATATCATAAAAAAGTTCACGACATGTAAATTAGTGTCACGGATACTGTCGCATACCAAAATGTGATTATACCATATTATTACAACATCTATAATTACTATGTTAGAGTACACAATGGAAAAGCGGAGACAATAGGTGTCAGTCCATGCGTTGAGGTACATTATGGTCATGTTTGAGTCATATGTATTTCTGGAGTATTAATATAGATTTAATTAGTATATAAATAAAATCCCTTCAAAATTTCACCACGAGGTATGTGTAGATCAAAACAACACAATTTAAATTGTTTTTTATAGTAGCTGGATTAAGTGCTATATAATTAATATGTTATGTTATTTAAAAATAGAAAAGGTAATTCACCGTCTACTTACGCCTTTTTTGGGCAATAAAATGACCCTAAAATCGAGGAATATGACTGTGGAAAAATTATAACAAATGAAGTCGATGATAAGGACTGAAAGAATTATACTCGTTTTGACCAGCAGTAGCAGTAATTTCAGCAGTAGTTTAGTAGAAGCAGAGCTCCCATTTCTGCCGTCAAGCAGCAATGTCAGCATTACTGTATTTTGGTTTTGAAGGGTAAGGGTGCTGGTGAAATTACAGGCACATGGGACTTGTCAACTTATTTATTTATTTTTATCTCAGGGTGACAGGAGCAGTGTCTCTCGGATCTTTCCAATTTAAAACTGTAAGTGGCACTGCAACTGCTATGGACAGACATGTCGCTTAACACCAGACGCACGGCTTGTTCGTCCTGTCACTTGGTATCATAAACAAGAATACCAGAATTGTTAATTTCATCTTCTAAATGTTCAATAATTTATTTAAAATATAACTTTATTTAAAGACACCAACACTATTGACTCCACTAACATTTTTAATTGCAACCAAGTGATTCATCCCTAGAAAATAATACAAATAGTTTTTATACGAGTACATACTCCCAAGTTCTTTAAGATGGTAACAAAAAACAACAGAATGGTGAATCATAGTTTCGTAACAAGCGTTTAAAAAAGCAGTCTATATGGTTGTTGATCTACTTTTTGTCAGACAACCACATCATTCATCATTACCTGTACTCAAAGCAATGTATTCCATGCACTATGAGTACTTGAGCAACGGAATTCACACCGGGGCATTGTCCAGAACACCCAGACCTCAGAATCAATTTCAAAAAGTCCATTCCCAAATTTGTCTTTCTGGGAGTGGAACCCGGGACCTCCTCATCCAGCGTCCGACTGTTGGGCCACCGAGATCGTATTTTTTTTTTGTTATGCCTCACAACTATAATGAGTGTTATTCGTAAGATTAATTAGTTTGATCAAAACATTCTCGTAACCTCTTCGAATAATGCTAATGTAACCAGAAAACCGAAATCAGAATCAGTTTAAAGAAATTCCTTTCCTAAAGTCTTAGCGACAATCGAACAAGGGATCTTCACCGCTGAACCACCCAAAAGTCGATTGTGGTATTTATTTAATGGTATGAATTTACTTGTAATAATCCATCAGCGGGCCGAGTATTCGGTCAAAGGGCTTAATTATTCATCAGTCTCAATTGCTTGATTCACAAGATTAATATTGAAGTTCTAATTGGCTCGTCCGAGCTAGAGCATCACTTTATAATCGAATTAAACTCAAGTTATTCTATTTCATTATTTCCCAAATGAGTTTTGCCAACATAATAGCTCGGAATCACTTGTTATGGTAATCCCTTAAGGACTTTAAGCAAAATGATGCATGAACCAAAATACTTTATTGGTTTTATGATGATCTCGATAAGTATCTGGTCCGAGGAGGGCAATTCAATCATCGTTTCTTTACTGGCTTAAAAGAACTTTTGATAGAGTAGACGACTCGGTAACTAATGCCAGATGTCAGTTTTTGTGCTGGGCAGCATTTCTTTAAAACTATTTAACGCAAGTCATTCCCAACTGAACATGCGCCAAATATGACGCAACCATAAATCTTAATGACATTGGTCGAAAGCGATGAAACTTGCAAGAAAAACTTTACATAACTCGTTAAAGTATGTTACAGTTGTCGTTAAAGTTAAAGTGTACTTACTAAACAGACTGGAAGCGATATAAGCTGTCTGCTATCGACAAAAATGTAATCTTCAGACACAATTGTACGCACCATTTGTAGCGGTAGAATAGGTAAGAATTCGTCCAGGACGCTACTACGACCTTATTTATTTCTGCCGCCAAGCAGTGATGTGTACATTACAGGGCGAAATTACAGGCACATGGGACTTGTCAACTTATGTCTCAAGGTGACAAGCGCAGTAGCAGGGCCCCTCAAATCTTTGAAAGCTCTGAGTAGCACTGCAACTGTTATGAACCGGCGTGTCGCTTACCATCAGACACACGACTTGTTTCATCCTGTCACGGCATCATAATAAAAGTACTTGGCAATTGTCGACACAGACGAGAACGGAACATTCTACACAACAACCTAGTTGATACATCTTCATTTGCCCCACCCAACACTGTTAACTAGCAAAAAGGTCGCCGCTATAAAACCGTATTAGAAAAACCACTATCCAACAAAGAAGTTCGGAAAGCCTTGCTCTTGCTTAATAGTATGCAAATGTTAATGGTCGACCCAAGTACGGTTCAAGAGCATTGCCGTGCATGCCACCGGTGGTACTGCGGTACCTTTTAAATGATGACACTTAATCTACACTCACCTATTTCTCATGACCAAAATTACATGACCGGAACGACATGGGTACTTTTAAAATGTCAATATAAAGCTTTACTATTTAATTTGCCATTATTTAAAGAACGCCTAGATAGTGGTAACAAATATCGAATCGAGTGGTACATTTTTAAAGTAACAAAGTAGGTCAATGGTAGCAAACAAATAATTTCTAAGAAATAACGCCGTTTACGTTATATTATTTTCTCCGCAAAAAATAATAGGAATTATGTAAATGTTCAAGTTCGTATGTTTATACCACAGACCATATAAAATTATAGAAATAATATAACGAAGAAATAACGTTTCAGATTGTATACAACATAGAGATTTAAATAAATATAGAACAGAAATGTTACAAAAAAAGATTTCACTATTGTAAAGGACGGGATCAAACCCCATTATCTGAAGCGCGAAGCCCACTGTCGTAACTTTCCTCATCACTTTGAAGAAAACGAAACTTAGAAGTGCGTTTTCTCCTTGGATTATTCACTTAAATCGCAAAAATTATTACGAGAACCACGTCAACAACACATTATAAAATTGATGTCTTCATTACAGTTTTATTTATCAAAGAGACTTGCAAATTAGGTAATGTTACAAAATACTCCCTTACATATAATTCAAGTCACCTTGGATTTTTATTTTAATGAGCTAGAATACGAAAACTTTGTTATCAACGAAGAAAAATTTTCCCCCGGTTTTACAAATCCATATTTTCAACAAGGACATGCAGAAATATCGTTTAGTATACCGGTTTCTAATTGCATATTAGTTTCTGATCATACGAACGCTTTTTAAACGTAGGTCATTTAATGCTGAAAATACAAGCTGGCTCGAATTATGTATCCAAGAGTATATTATAGTATTATCTTCAGTATTACCTATAGTCATAAATTGTTCGCAAGGACAATAAAATCAGAGCAAACCCAAATTCTTATTTTTGAAATAAAATACCTAGCGCCGTTTTTTCGTGACATTTGCACCTGTCTTAAATATTTATCTTCTTTATAAAGCAAATAAAAGATCTCTACAACAGAAACATTTGAGAGTGAAAGTACAAGCGCTCTTGTTTCGCTCGCGAACTGAAAAGGCCTGTTTTGCCGTTAAAGCCCCGTGACTCACGACGGACCAGGTGGCTAGCGATAAGTCTATCTCACGATAATCAAGTGCAACTGCTAAGTTATTATATTATGCGAATTAAAACAATTGATATAGCCAGGCTAATATAAATTCTATCCAAATTACCAATAACAATTCATAACTGACCGATGCCGACCCGTAATATAGGCCACACTTTGACCTAAGGTAAACTAAAACTTGCATAACAAAGTAGTGGTACCTATACGATTTTATTGTGTATAACTAACATAAGCAGATTGATTATGTATGTTGCAATTACCTAGTGTGAGATTCTGATAGGTTGTAATATGTTTTTTCTGTTATAAAAGCAGCTAGAATTAGACAGAAACTTTGTAAAGGTACTTTTTTAATTCCCAGGCTCATCATAATGTAATATAAATTCATGATAAAGCCACAAAAATGAGCCGCAAAAAACAAAGTGAGAACAAAGTTGCCAGAAAGTTTTAAATACCTGCGAGAGGTCCGCGTCCTCCCGAAGTCGCTCATAGATGGTCAATTTCCTGTCGGCGGTCACCAGACCGGCGAATAACACTAATAACAACACTAGTCCACCCATATTAGCACGGTTTAAATCCAGATTTCACAGAGAAACACTTGCAGGATGCATCTGCGAGGTTGGTTTGTTGTTTGATCTCGGAACGCGCACAATACAAGGGCGCGAGGCGGTAAGTGCCGGATCGCCGCGCGGGAGGTACTGACGCGCCAACTTGACGCACGGCAAATCTCCCCTCCCGCTCACACGACAGTCAGGAACCGGTGCAAGAACGAGCTAGGCCATCCAGTACCAGTACAGTCATCAATGATGACCGTTGAGGCTCGAAAAATAAGACTCTACAATTATTTTTGCAGAGATAGCACACCTAAAATAGGCCCATTGACTCCCTGGCGCCTCTAATTTTTTTTTAAAGTACAAAGTTACTTATGTTGTTAATGCGATGACTAATCCGTATTGTTCAATTACTTTTAACATGTATTAACATAAATACTATAACTTATTTAAGCACAAGTTTTGTATTAGTTATGTTTGGCATAAACGTGTAACAGAATCGTGCACGATTGAATGATTTTATTCAACTCAACACCAGTAGTACGCAAGGTACTACGTTTAACATGTAATTTTAACTGGTTACTTACATATCAACGGTTAAAAGACGACTTGATTTAACCGACATTTTCGTCACTTTACAGGAGAGCATTTCAAAGTTGTTTTCTTTAGAAAAGAAATCATTGTGTATTAGTTATTAGAAGTATATACAAAATGTATTACATTTTTATTATCGGTTTAAAGTAAGTAAAAGGACTCAAATAACGTACGTTATAACATTTGTGTGTGAAGCAAAATGCTTTACGGTACAATCACTATCAATTTTGGTTTATATAAAAAAGCATCAAAAGACGTTTTTATAAAAATAAGTGGAAAAGACTGAATGGACACGAAGACAAATTATTAACGCAATAAATTAGATTAATATGCCTAGTTTAAAAAAAAATACTGAGAAAATTATGTCCGTTAACCACAATATTCGAAATTGCTCCTAAACTCGCGATGGAGTTAAACGTCAAAAAAGTTCTTCAATTAACGTGAAACATAGATCAACAGACGCGGAAAAAATAGCTGATTCCAATTATGTATATAACTAAATCTCGCCCAAAATATCGCTTGTGTCAATCCGCCTTTTAACCGTCAATATGCAACATGTATTGTAATGTCAAAAATATAGTAATAAGTATAGTAAAAAGTATAGTAATGTAAAATGATGGTATAGTGACAAGGATAGAGATGATGCTTCGATGGATTGGTCATGTAGAAAGAATGAATGTCGGTAGACTGACGGCACAATTTCACAGAGCGGATGTGGCTGGAGGCGTGGGGAGAGGTAGACCTCGGAGTACATATCTCAATCAAATTGGGGATGTCCTTAAAAAAGCCCGAGTTAAAAGTATGAGGAATAAACGGGCATTTATGAAGAGACTGATAGATAAGGAGGAAGCGAAGGAGGTTTGTCAGGAGCGTTGCAGGTGGAGGTCCATAGTCTCTGCCTACCCCTGTGGGAGAATAGAGGTGTAGGTATGTACTTACTTATCGAATTAATCGTGACCATGTGCCCTGTAAAGGGCCCGAAACGTTGGTTTGTTTGAAAAAAAAAGAAGAAATTATTACGCGATTTAATATTTTAAGTCTATTATATTATTTTTATCTTCGCTCAACATGGAATGTCCGTGCACATCTTTATATTTCTTGCCTAGAAATAAAGGCTCATTGTTAATAGTGTGATGACGTCACAGGTGAGGTATTAATGTTTTACCTGAGGCACTCGTTCGAGCCGAACGTGACAGGAACCGATTATGGCCCATTGTTCCCTATCGCGCGGGATCTTCGACTTTTGAATTTTACGGAACCGTATTACGAGCTGATTATCGCTGTTTTGTGTTACCATCCCAATTGTTATTGCCTTTATAACGAATAAATGACAGCAGTAACAACGCGTTTTATCTGTTACATGTCTTTTTCTTAAAAAAACGACCTTACGAGTTTGCTTATCTGTTTTCGCTGTTTTATTTTCATTGGACAATTTATGTGCCTTATTCATTTATGTGTCCAGTTTTATTAAAATCGGTTAACGGAAAGCGGGTGAAATTCAATAAAACGGATTCATTCCCTAATTTTAGAACTGGAATATTTTCTTCAAATTTTAAATGTAAAACATCTGAAGAATCTCCTTTTCAACAAAAAAAAAATCATCGAAATCGGTTCGCAAATAACCTCGTCTTTTTTTGAAGTCGGTTAAAAAGGAACGTAATCATCATACTCAAATTCTAACTCAAACTCATATAATCTTTATTATATAAGCAAGCAAATTACTCTTCAAATCGTCATTATAATTAAACTCTACTACACTTTCTTCGGCAGATTCACCCGAGAAGAATGTGCAAGAGTTTACTCTTTGTGCATAAACATATGTATACATTTATTTTAAAGATGAAAAAATGCCGTGGTGGCTAATGGTTTGACCTATCGCCTCTCAAGCATAGGTCGTGACTTCGAATTCGGATTCGCTCTAATTAATTTTTCGGAATTTATACAAAATTTAATTTGACATTTACTATGAGCTTTTCGGTGAGACAAAACATCATAATGAAACCTAAAAATAATGAAACCTGCACGTCGAAGAAGGTTCACAATCCTCGGAAAACGTGTGAAGTCCCCAATCAATTAAGCTGTCGCCTGAGGGAAGCTCATGCCCAGCAGTGGATCGTATAAAAACAATGGGTTGACAACGATTTCGAATACGATAGGTCAAGAAAACCTGCAAGAGCTAAACTCTACCGTGGATTTTAGTCATACAAGTATGCTGAAGCTGTATAATTATATAGGAATCTTGTTAGAATTAAACAAAGATATCATGATCACGAAAGAGTTTGTCCAGGGAACTACTGCCACCTTACCTATTCCTGCCGCCAAGCAGCAATGTCAGCTTTACTGTGTTCCGGTTTTGAAGAGTTAAGGGTGCTGGTGAAATTAGAAGTAGTAGTCAGTGCCCCTCAGATTTTTGCGATTTAAAGCTCTGAGTGGCACAGCAACTGTTATGCACAGGTGTGTAGCTTTCCATTAGGCACACGACTACTTGTTCGTCCCGTCACTTAATTTTAGAAAAAGAATGTACTGGCACGGTTAAAGACTTGTATTAGTCTAGAGATATTTCAGATTACACGGGTAATTACCGTAGAGATTCTCCATAGTATTCTTATGTGAAACTATTGCAGCATGTCCTTTTCGCTTTTGTTAGTCAAGTCGCACCCTAGGTGTAATAAAGCCACATCTGCATAATGGCAACTTTCCAGTAGAGATTTAAAGATTCTACGTACAAATTACTTATGACTTTTTTAAGCTTAAATACGAGGGTTATAAAATTTCACTTATACATAATTTGTTTCATGTAATTCGTATTATTTTTACGACTTTCATATGCCAAAAGCACTTGTGACGTATGATCACAATGTGGCTTTATCGGAATGAGGTGCATTACGTGCTTGTTTATAATTTTCATACAGTGTTATACTATATTATAGTAACAGATAGATACATAAAAAAGTAAGAAGTTTGTAAATAGAAAATTTGGCCATGTGGTCACCGAATGCTTCTAGGCAATCCGACAGCTCGTTCGCTAGAAGTTTCGCCCGTAGCCCCCAAGGACAAGCAAGATTGGCGTATTTGAGCTGAAAATGAAAATCTGGATATTTTGGAACCAACATAATAACCGAATCAAGAAAAATTCAGCTTTTCCATATAACAAATAAAATTAGAGTAGTAATTTTTTTTTTTCTAAAAATAATACTTTAAATTGCTCTCCTGTTATATTTTCCAAATGTACGTTACATGGTTTCCCTTTCCAGTGTTGATATAACAAATGAAAAGATAAGAAAATAATTGACAACTCCCTTCAAACATACCTTCTGAAAATGCGTACACTAAAACTATATTAAATTTCCTTTGTTATAATTGACACTATATACTTAATGACACAAAATTTATTGCAATGTAAATGTGATGGTATTGTTATTATTATTTTGACTTAGGCAAGAGATGTCTTAAAATCGTGTGCTTTCTCTTTCTCTTCTAGGGGTCTAAAGCACAAAATTGTGCATATAAAGATGTAAGACAACCAAGTAACAATGTATCTAATAAATATGAATAATACATTATACGTCCCATTGCCAGCCACGGGTTTTTTCTGACGGAAAGGTTTAGACCTGTTTAGACCTTCGTCTTGTTTGTGGACTAAATATTAACTCATTTTCCGTGAGTTCAGAACCTTCTTCGATGTGCAGGTTCCATCACGATATTTCCCTTCACTGTTAGCAAGAGGTATTGCTACTAAATATTCAATAATATACTTAGAAATTAATGTCGTAGTACATTCGATGCTCTCAGATACCTGACCCCTAGCCAACCCATTTGGTTCTGAGAGCCTTCTTACGCATTCAAAAGAAAATTTAAAGGAATTCCAGCCTTTTGGTTGAAATTTATATACAGGGTGTAATCGTTAAGTGTGCCCAGGCGACTATTCCATGAATATATGAGATAGCAAAAATCTTTTAACTGATATCGAAAATGCCTTACCTAATGAGTAAAACAACATCAACAAATAAAAAAAATTAAAACTAGAAATATTCATAATTTTAACGTTAAACGCTCTCATAGATTGAATATGACATGCTTAGGGGGGCATTAGTTTAGAACAACTGCTTCGAATGCAAAATTTTGTACATAATGAAAAATAAACATCACTTTACTTTGATTCAATTAAAATATAGTTTTACTACTTTATTTATAGCAATCTTATCTTCTCTAATCTAATCTATCTTCGTTATCTGTAAACTTATTGTTATCTCTTTAATAGATCAACTTAGGCCTCTCTACGAATATTATATCAAATGTATGGGAGCGTATAAGGTAAACATTTTGTATATTCCTAGTTTTATTTGTAAAAGTTACAGGTGTCGTTTTCCTCATTAGGTAACGTACTTTCGATATCAGTTTAAATGCTTTTGATATACATACACACTTAACGATTACACCCTGTATATGTAATGTAATTAAAGATCAAGTTGGCTAAAACGTCAGTCACTAATGATGCTATAAGGAAGTCATACCAAAATGAATTGTACGGCTCACAGGTTAAATATTA